AAGCCACGGAGAGCTGGCTGTTTGTTACCTTTGCCATGATCCCATATTGAGATTTTCCAATGGAGCAGAGGCAGAAATGTTGATTCTGCCCATTGTTATATTTGCTTAACGCATTAACAGAGGAATTTGGATTCTGGGGCAGTCAGAGAGGCATTGTTCTTTCTCCAATTGAGATTAATTAGATCAGTGGGAATTTAGAATGAGCAGAAACTGCCCGATCAGGAACAAAATCCACTGCTTGCTTGTTCTGTGTTAGGGTTATCCATACAAAATGCAGCTCGTCCAAATGACTGGTACTTTCCATTACTTCCTAGGAAATCTATTACACAACATAATCAATGTGATTACCAGGAAATTTCCCTCAAAAAATGAGCTCAGCCCAAATGAGCAATAAACTGTTTTAAAAGCTTCTATTTTGAGCAGTGCTGATCTGAACCATACCGGGCATTACAAATAACTTCCTTTGAAATTAGCTTTTTCATTAGCATTGCTGTGCCATTGCAAAGGGAGTCAGTTCAAGTTTAACAAATACAATAGCAAATAAACTGAAAATAAAAAGACCTAAGCCAAAGGTGGACGATGCCTAAACGTTAAATACTGGGCATGCTGGCACTTGGCAGGCAGGAGCTCCATCTGCCTGCCAGCTTTTGGTACTGCTGCAGAAGCCAGAATTAAAAGTAAATTGTTCATGGAATCATGCTGTGATGAGTCACTGTAACTTTATTCCCCTCAAATAAGACAGCTTTGTCTTTGTACTAAACCAAAATTACTAACTGGAAGTTATGAAAGACTTCCTAAGAAGAGCCAGTGCTTTCTGGAGAATGGGTTCTTTCTCCATGAGTAAAAGCTGAACATTTTAGAGAGTTTATTTCTTTCTGGTGTGAGAGGCAAATCAGTGAATGTATGTGTGATGCAAAAAACCCTCCTGTGCAAAGAACAGATGCAAAATTCTTGAAATTTATACCAATTGAATCTTTGATCATTATGTATATGAAAGCTGTATTGACTGAAAAAAGCTTATGTAAGACAGTGTAAAGTGAAAACAAGGGTAGGTAGAATTAAGATTTGAAATTCTCCAAGAAAGAATGCAAACTGAAAATACTCTGCGTGCTTCTCCAAATCTCTGCTGATGACACAAAGCTCTCAGCTCTTGTTAGAAGAAAAATGTAAGTCATTAGTCCTAATAGATGAGGGAGAAAGTCACCCTCAGTGTCTGTAAGAGCAAGAAAAAAAATGACATTGCATATTCAACTGCACAAGAACTTTCAAAACTCCGGGCAATGACCATTTTCTGGGGATAAGCAGGAGACAGTAGGAAACACAAACCTTTGAGCCCCCAGGCTGGAATCCTGCCCTGCAAAGGAAGGCTCTGTCATTTTCCTAGACAGCTTCAAATATCCCAGGTAGGTGTTAAGCAGATTCTTCTCCTGTCTGAGCATGGCAAAGAGAGTCACTGGCAGATGCAGCAGACAGTGCACTGGGTTACTATTGCTTTACACACTCGTGTGTGCCATGTGCTAACCCTGATATACAAACCTGTCTGCAGAACCTAAACAAAGCTGAAACTGCAGCTGTTCATCACTGACCACACTGATCTGGGAGTCTTTGTGCCTGGAAGGTTCCTCCAACCCACAGGACCTCTCTGGACCAGGTATAACTGCATGAGCTTATTTACTACTATTATTTACTAATTATTTGACCTTAAAGGAGAAACACTCTTTTCCTGTCATGCATCAGTCACACTAAAGCTTCCTGCTGCTAAAACCTGACCTTTAATTGCTCACTGGATATTTGGATCATATTCTAAACTTGCAAAGTCTAATTTAATGCACATGATTCAATATAAGTGGTGTCCATAGCACTGGGTGGAAAAGACTCACCCAGGGTTATTAGGGAGGCTGAACCTCAGAGTGTTCAGAACTCAAACTCAAAAGCTCAGGAAGATACTTTGGATCTCCTCGGTCTGTGACATTGAGAGCAGGAATCCTGTCACAGAAACGTCAATAACAATAATTTCTTCACATTTCACTTGGCAAAACAAGAGGAAATGTTTGCATAAAGGTATTTCCAATTGCATATTCCCAAAGCTGTTAGGTCTCAAAGAGCTGCCTTGTGTAATAAATCTGATAACACATCATCTCTTTTTATTCACACTACATTCATCTGGCTTGTGTGATTTTGGCACAAACAAGGGATCACCAGTGAAGCTGAGCCCATTTGATCCAATTACTGGATTTGTTCCAGTAAACCACTGGATGATGGTGGGTCTTGAAGTCACTGACAGATGCAAGCGACTCGAATAGATTTACTTCTTCAAAGTGGCATTTCAAAACAAGTTTTTTTAGTTTCTATATGTAGGCACAGATAAGATCAGTCATCCTTCTGAGCAAGATGGAAATTTCAAGCCCCTTTGTTCCTTGCTTTCAGAAGCACAAAACTAAGACTTGAATTAGGGTAAAGAAACAGTAAAATGTACCTAGCAAAGAGATCCCACTCGTCTGACTGGTTAGATGGGAATGCCTTGGCAACCATGAGGCAAACACTCAGATTCCAATGTCCCCTGCTCTGCTCATCATTTTTAGCCTTGTGACTCCACAGGCAGGACTGTCCACCTGTGCTGGGCAGGATCAGAGCTTTGGAGATCAGCTTTCACCCTGAGAGAGCAGCGCTTTTCAGGGATCATCAAGGGGGAAAACTGAGAATGAATGTGAAGACAATAAAGTGAGAATCCTGAGTGAATGCTTCAGGGGGAAAGACACGAGATGACTTGATGTGTGTTGGTGTGAGCAGAAAAGAACAGACAGACAAAGGTTTGCTCTCAAAAATACCAGAGTGCAGTAATATTATCTCCTACCTGTTACTGTCTCAAAAAATCTCCAGCTGAAAAACACCAAACCATTACAACATATGTGTCAATGAACACATTAAGTGTCCTGGCTCTGTTAGGAGCAAAGTCTCCCAAGAAAAAAGCTTCATCTTTCCTGTTAGCATTTCAGTAGAAGACAGAAGCACAGTTTCTGTCCTGATCAATGATTCAATATCCTGGAGAAGTACAGTTGCTTTGACACATCACTGAATTCTCTCCGAGGAATGTGTTGCTAACCATGCTCATATTCAGCTTCTACTTTGGTCTGAAATATGCTTAACTTTTAATTTCTCAGCTATTTATAACGCGAGACCAAAGTGACATTAAGAAGTGTGATGTAATTGCTGTTTTTAAAAGCGTGGTGGTATACAAGCAGGCCACTTCCTGGCATGTAACATCCAGCTGGGAAACACAGACAAGTACTGTCAACCACAGTAAGGAATAATGTGTGCAGTATGATATGATAAATATGGAGGACGTTGAATTTTGAAGGGTAAATTATTTCATCTCAAATTATTTCAAGCAAAATCCAATCTATTTTTCTGGAAAAAAAAACAACTCCAAGAAGACTGCAACTGGCAAGTAAGATGGAGCAAATATACTTGTCACAATCAATTATTGCCTTTCAAGTGCAGGAAAATGACAAATGAGCCATTAAGGATTGCTATTCTTTATTTGGAACTGAAAAAGAGAGAAATGAGTCTCCAGGAAAAAAAATCTTAAGCTTTTTTGCGTGTTGCTTTATTTAAAGAGAAAGTTCATTGAATATATAGAAGAAATGCCTTCTGCAAGGTGTTAATCTTGGTTTCCCTGCAGACCTGTTATACGAATCTTGTTAGGACGAGTGTATGTTAATTAGTCTGTGGAAACCAGAAAGAGGATTTTTGTACCTGGGATTCCTTTTTCAGGCAGCTGTAGGGCTAATCTTCAGCAAACAACAACTTTTTAATACCCAGGGATGTTAAATATCCAGAGCATGAGGGAATTTGCTGTCACCAGAGTACTGTCACAACACAAGCCTTTCCCTAGGATGGGATTTATGTGTTGGGTTATTTTAGTGTGTGCGAACACACCTAAAATCAAAATGTTTCCACAGGCCAACTAAAATGGCTGTGACGGGGAGGTTTTTGGTGCAGGCAGGATTCTGTAAGGATCTGCATTCTTGGTTAACACAGAAATATGGGCAGCAGGGAGGGTGGTCCCTGACCACCACCCCTTCCATGGGGAAATGATGTTCGCCTTCAACAGCGGGGATGACAGGTCAGCAGCAGGGGCTGTGTGAACACGTTGGGAGGCAAGTGGAGCTGACACACTGGATCAGGAACGGTGTGGCAGCAGGACCAGGGAAGGGATTCTGCCCCTGTACTCAGCACTGGTGAGGCCACACTTGGAGGGCTGTGTCCAGCCCTGGGCCCTCAGTTCAGGAAGGACATTGAGCTGCTGGAGCATGTCCAGAGAAGGGCAACAAGGCTGGGGAAAGGACTGGAGCACAGGTGCTGTGAGGAGCAGCTGAGGGAGCTGGAGGGGCTCAGCCTGGAGAGGAGGAGACTCAGGGGAGACCTTCTCACTCTCCACAACTCCCTGACAGGAGGGGGGAGCCAGGTGCAGGTGGTCTCTTCTCCCAGACAACCAGCAGTAGGACAAGGGGACAGAGTCTTAAGCTCTGCCAAGGGGGGTTTAGGCTGGACATTAGGAAGAAGTTCTTTACAGAGAGAGTAATCAGACATTGGAATGGGCTGCCCAGGGAGGCGGTGGAATCACCGTCCCTGGAGGTGTTTAAGAGACTGGATGAGGCAGTGAGTGCCATGGTCTGGGTGACAAGGTGGTGTTGGGTCATAGGTTGGTCTCGATGATCTCAGAGGTCTTTTCCGATCTAGCTGATTCTGTGATTCCCTCACAGAGACGGAAGGGGACACTGGGCCACCGGGAATACCGGGAATACCGGGATCACCTGCGCCCCCCTCATCCCACCTGAGGCGGGCGAGGCGCTGCGGGGGCGCCGCGCTCCCATTGGCTGGCGGCGATGAGGCGGGAAAGGGGAAGGACTTGCGATTGGCCGGTGGCCGCGGCGGGGCGTCTCGCGAGAGGCGCGCGGCGGCCGCGGTCTCGCGCGGCCCGGCCCGGCCCCCCCTCCCCCCCCCCGGGTCCCTGGGTCCGGCGGCGGCGCCGCTCCCGCTGCGGCCCCGGTGAGTGAGGGAGGACCGGGGCAAGGAGGGAGGGACGGACGGGGGAACCAAAGGTGATTGGGTCCTGGCGGTGGTGTGGTGATGTGTGTGTGGGTGTCTCCGGTGCTCTGCCCCTTCTCTCTGCCGCCGGTCCGCGCGGGCACGGGCGCCTCTCCGTGAGGGGGGAGCTCCATGGCCGCCCTGTGCCCCCCGTTCCTCCTGTCCCTCTTTCCCCCCTCTCTCCCCTGGCCCCCGTTCCCCTGGCCTCCCGTGCCCTCCTCTCTCTTCCCCGTTCCCTCTCTCCCTTTCCCCCCCCTCTCTCCCCTCTCTCCCCTGTTCCCCCCTGCTCCCCTCTCTCTCTCCGTGCTCCATCTCTTCTCCATGCCCCCTTTTCCCAGTTTTCTCCCTCTCTTTCCCCATTCCCCCCCCCCGCCCCCTCTCCCCCTTTTGCCCCTTCTCTCGCCCCGTTTTCCCTCTCTCTCCCCTCCTTTCCCCCTTTCTCCCTCCCGTGCTCCCGTTTCTTCCCGTGCCCCCTCCTCCTCCGCCCTTTCCTCCCCTGAGTGTCCCCACTCCTGACAGGGCCATCCCTGGCTGTTATCAGCTTTCATCCTTCCCTTTTACTCCCCTTAAAGGCCGTGGTTGTGGCTGTTCCTCTTTGCCAAGGCTGTGTCTCATCCCTGGAAGAAGATTTTTGACAAAAAGTTCGGCTGGAGGCGGAAGGGAGTAGGAGGGGTTTGCTTTGAAGTCAGAGCCAAAGCGGAGCAGGTTGTGACTGGACTTTGCATCCGTGGGGTTGTGTGTCCGTGTGTCCCATGGCTAAATGTGCAGCTTTTATGTGTAGTCACAACTCTGGAGAGAAGCCCACAAGTGCTGAACACCTAAAAAGCATCTCTGGACAAAGTGGAAGCCTGTTGGGTATTGTGTGTGTGTTTTGTGACTTCACAGCTCTTCATTAAAACAATAAATGCAGGTAAAGATGAGCTTTCCTTTACTGTTTCTTATATTGTAGCAGTTAATGCACAAATACTAAATACTCAGATTATGCACCTTGTAAGTTTTGATGCTTTTCCTTGAACTGTTTTAATGCTGATCACAGAAGTGGAGTTGGGAATTGTGATGGCTTAATTTCCTTGATCTTCTGAGCTAAGAGAGCTTTACTCTTGCCAGTGCCAGAGCGTGTGCCCTGTCCCCTAAGATAGCCAAGGAAAGGAACTGTTAAACTCTTAAAACAACCAAAACCAAATGCTATATTCTCCCAGAAGGACACAAGTCACCTGTAAGAGCTGCTTATCAGCAAATCAAGGGAATTACTGAAACTGAGAAGCAGTTTGATTTACAGGGATGGTCGGGTTGTGGGTCTTCAGCTGGAGTTTTGTTTACAATTACTATAATCAGATGGAATTCTCGATTCAGGACCTTCACTTCCAATATCTATTATGGTTAGAAAACTCCTTCAGTGAGAAAATGAACTAAGAGAATGTTTTTGGTGGAAAGCAGTTACAAATCCTTGCCTTTCGTTAATGGTAATTAATTTATGTGCACGAGTCTGTAGCAAACTGGTAACTTTAAATTAATAAATAGTCTGGATTTATTATGTTCTGAGACAGTTGAAAAGATACAGCATTGCTGCAGTTATCTAAATCTACACAACATAATCACAACTAGATTTTTGGTTGTATGTGAAAAACGAGCTGAATAAAGTCAGGTTTGAGATACAAGTTAATTTTTAATTTGTCTTCCTGCTTTTGTTTTGTGGTTTTGAAATTGTCAGTTAAAGCTTGACTCTTTGCTCTTTCTGGGTTTATTTTTAGTAAAGAGATGAAAATCTTTCAAATCTTGCTCTTTCTAAATTTTCTTGCTGTAAGTTTCAGGTTTCTCCTGTATTAGTTTATTATTTTAAAATGGCCTTAGTGGCTCTCCATCCCCAATATCTTTTCCAACCAGTAAACTCTTCCAGTAGTTTTGTATGGACAAGCTTAACAAACTTTAATTGCCTTTTGTCCTTCTGGCTTAAAAGATACATAACAGTGAATTTTAGTCATCTGAGACTAAGAAGTCCTCTGTTAATTGTGCATTTTTCTTATCTGTGTGTTCTTTTTTTAGCACATACATGTAACAGAACAGATGTAGGACATCAGTAATGGTTAAGAGAGGTTGTTTTTGTTTTTTTTTTCTTTGTGGTGGCAACTTTGACAAAATTATCTGAAAGGTCCATTGACCATGGATGAAAAAGAAAGCATTATATAGGACTAAAGATTTTATTTCAAGTCCTATATTACACTAAAACTTGATCCAGAAAACAGTCAAAGACTTATGGTGTGGGTGTTCTGGATACTTTGTGTCTTAACTGGAACAACAAATGATGAGATAATGAGTAACTCTTCCTGCAAAAGAATGCATGGCACACACCTTGATAAAGTTGTTTTCTTTCTCTTTTTGTCTCCTAGAAATGGGTCTGCTTTCAGAAGATGAGATGCACTAGATGTGGTGCTTAGTCATGGCATCAGAACTGTGTAAAACAATCTCTGAGGCAAAGCTGGAAAGGCACAAGAACTTGTTCTTAAATTACCGAAACCTCCATCACTTCCCTCTGGAGCTGCTGAAGGATGAGGGGCTGCAGTACTTGGAGAGACTTTACATGAAAAGAAATTCCCTGACCACATTGGTAAGGACAACCTCTTTATTGCAATGTTTATTGTCTGTGTGTTTAGCAATTCTGGGGTTTGGAACAGAGAAAACAAGATAATTAAAAAAAAAAAAGTCTAAGAGAAAATCTGCCCCTGAATGATGTCATAACTGTGAGAGATGAGTATTGGGTTGTGTCATGGTTGAACTTGCATAGGTAATGTAGAGAATAATAAATGAATGTTTAGGATATTTATTGTTACCCTGTTGAAGCTCTGAAGATCTGCTGGGGGTTTTCTTGTCAGGCTGGTTGTTCTGTTGGGGGTTTTTTAACTGCTGTAAATTTTACTCACTCAGTGGTCAGGTCTTTCTCCTGTTAAGTGGTACTAGGTAGTCTAGTCTGCATTCCTTCATTAGGCTGAACAGCTTTTCCCTTGGTTTGTGCCTAATTCCAAAGGCATTGTCAGTGCCAGGGTCTAATTCCAAGCAAAGTGCCAGTAGAAACTTATATCTGTGGGCTGCTATTGATAGAACACAGTTCATGTCAGGATTGTGGGAATTTTCCTTTGTGATTTCTTCCTGTTTCAGTGTTTTTCCCTGAACTGAAGGAATTCTCACCCTAAGTGAAATGTTGTGACCTCAGAATTCAGTGTGGGGCAGTTCCATAACTGTGTGAGGTGTTCTGAGCTGATAAGACTGTAGAGGACAGAGTCAAAACTTGCCACTGTCAACAGGGTCAAGTCTTCAAGGCTTTGTTTTGTTGTTGTTGTTGTTTTTTGTTTGTTTTTTCTTGGGCTCTTCCATGGTGTTAGAGGTAAAATAATCGCCAGGGTGGAGGTACTGGAGGGCCTGACCAAAAAATCACTCAAATTATGTGTTTTTCAGTGTTTCCTAGATAAAGTCCACTACTCCATTTTAAGGAGTGATGTCTAAAGCTTTGACAATGATACATGAGAAATCCTCAATAAAGGTTTCAGTTAATGGCCCAAAAGCTGAAAGGATTCTGAAGATTTTATGCCTTTTCTTCATATTGAATGAGTCACTTAGGTTGGCATGTGCTGTGGAGAATTATTTTAGTGCTCTGGTTTTGAGCAATAGTTTATTAATGTATATTAATTTTAATGGGAGGACAGTATTCATGGTTACCAATTAAAGCTGCTATAAAGTCAGACTGTAAACAGTTCTGCCTTGACACTCTGCCATTCAGTGATTATTTAGTGGTGGAAGGTTCAGCAAGTTTGCACTGCTCAAAAGATGGAACAATAAGGAGAACTTTGCATCTCACTTTTCTGTATACCCGTGTTAAGGCCTGGATAAAGAAGTGAAAAAAAAAATGCAGATCATACTTAGACAAAATGACTTCAAACAGAGTGAAGTAGAGCATGATTAGATTGACAACAATCAGGATAACTTGCTCATAATGTGACTTGTTGGAATCTCATTCAAGTGCTCAGCACTATAGTTGGAACAAGGCAATTAAAATTGGGTCTCATTCACTGAGCATCTGTTCAGCAGAAGAGATGTTGGAAGTTGTAGTGGACCAAAATAGATCGAGTCAGCAGCATGTTACAAAAAAAGGCAGATGTCTTTTTGGAACGTGGAAAGTTTCCCAATCTCCATTAAAGGCAGAAGGAAGTAATTACTGGATACTGTTAAAGGATAAGCTGGAGTGGAGAGTTTCATACTTGAGATCAGCCTGGGTGACTCGGACAGAACCTGGAGAGCAGCAGTGGGGGAGTTCAGGGAATGTGCCCTGGGAGTGAGGGTTGAGATTGAGGGTAATTCCTCTGGCAAAAAGAGAACACAGAGAGGGAGAAAATCTGAGGAGTGGGGGAGAGCAGAAGTCATCAGTATTTTCACAGAACAGTATTTTCATAATGAGTTTGGTTTATTTCCCCAAGTAATGCTCTTAAGTTAGTAAAGTAGTAGTTAGTTATGTACATTGGGTGGGGTAGGGCAGAAATCTCACCTGAGAATAGTTGAAAACAAATAAGTTAGTGAAGGAAGAGGTCTCTTCCTTACTCATTTGATTCCATGCAAGGTGATGAGCATTAGCTCATCAATACATTTTAAATTGTATGAGGATTATTAGCAATCACCAAAACTAATACTGCACCATGTTTCTTTAAAGTTAAGTGATACTTCTGTCCCACCAGTTCATCCCTTCAGAATTCTGAAAATACTCGACTAACTCAGCTTTTGTTCTTTGCTCCTCTGAAATGACTCCTGTCCTTGACAGATGAGTCCTGTGAAAATGTCTGGAGTGGTTACACTGACAGAATTTACCTTGCCTAAGAATAATTTCATTTTTGTCTTCATTGGCAAGATGGAAATGATGGAGGGCTGTGACATAATGAATGGATCAAGAAGCCAGAAAGCACACCTGTATCCCAGGGTCAGGTCTTCCCACGTCTCAGTTAATACTGACTGATACCATGAGCCTTCCAGTACCCAATTTCCTCATTTATTAAAAGGAAATAGGTGTTTGCCTTGATGGCCCTGCCAGAGGCAGGATGTGGCCATATCAAAGAACAATTGTCCTTAGTTTATTGACTCAGAACACTCAGTGCTGTCCTGTTCTGACAGGGCAGCAGGGACAGTAGTCTGTGGTTCTGGTTGGCACCCTTAGTGCGATAAAGAAGGAAAGTGAGTTTGGGTTTTTTCACACTTCATTTTTGCAATTCGAGCTTGAATTCTCGTGCTTGAGCCGCAGCCTTTGCCGGTTTCCCCGGTGTGAGGTTTTCTCTTTGCCCCCATGAACCCGGTGCCGGGAAGGCCCGTGCGCTGTGGCGGAGCTGCCAGGAGGTGGCAGCGCCGGCTCAGGGACAGCCCCGGGGCCGGGTCATGACGTCACCTCGGTCGCTTCTGACGTCACCCCTCAGTTCTTCACCTGGCCCGGCATTTGCTGCTCCCGAGTTCAACAAACACCCACAATGGGGTTGTTTGCTGCATGAGAATATCGTTACATTGCTGTTTCAGGGGAGCAAAGCAAGTTGTGAACACGGAGTTCTGTATTTTGGATCATAATACACCTATTTGAGGTGTCACATGTCACGTTAATTCACATGAAAATTGCTAATTTTATCAGGAAAATGATCGTGTGGTTGAGCTTCTTTTAAAACCCATTTGTTTCTGCGTGTTATCTGTATTGAAAAACCTCATTTTCAATAAAACATATCTGTGTTTAAAGTAGGTTTCTTAAGCAATAAAACTGTCTTAACCTTGAATAATTTTGAGTACAGTTACCAACATGACATCTGAAACTTGTGAAGTCAATTTTGTGATAAGTGTTCATGGTTGTAAATGCCATCAAGGCTAAGAATTACTGCCAGTTAGCAGTTAGAGAATGATATGCATGTTAATATGGAAATATGGAAATCTAGATTGATGGATTCAGCAGTGCTGGCTTGGTGGTAATTGATTAAAGCTACACAAAGATTGTAGGTCATTTCCCAGTTTAGCAGCATTATAAAATGCACATTATGGTTACACATCTTGTGTAGTTCTTGTTCTGCTTTAAGTCTGTAAAGGCTGCAGCTTCTTAGCAGTCTCTTGCCTTCAGCTAACTCATTTATTTGAATATATTTTCAAAAGTAAGATTTTGGTAATCCATCTTTGCAGCCTCAGAAATCTGACTCCCATTTTGTTGGGGACCATATTAATGTCACCTCTAGACTGCAGCTTTGTTTCAGTAGTGAATTGCTCACCCTTGACACAACCCAGATTGCCCTGATGGAGAATGTTTGGGGGTGTGGAAACAGGGTATTGGATAGAGGCTCCTTGTTGCCATTTTTCCTGCTGACATGTTTTAGTGTGGTTATTAAAATGACCTGGGTACACAATATATGTGTCTTGTTCCTTGTTTTGAAACCTAAAAAAATCTCTAACTCTCTTTCAGCCAGAAAACCTTGCACAGAAGCTTCCAAACCTCGTGGAATTGTGAGTTTATGTAGGACTTCTAATATATTTTTATTATGTTGATCCATCCTATGTTAAAATCTAGAATGTATTAATTGCACATAAGCTGCATCTAAAGTGTGAAGGGTTTTCTTGAAGGGCAAGAAGGGCTCATTTTAGGAGGTATAAGTCCTTTTTGAAATTTTTTTTTTAACTTCTTGTTTATTGTATAACAAGAACCTTTATACAAATGTCTGTATTGCTGAGGGAATAAATCCTGTTGTCACACTGGAACCTCCCAGTGCAGTGGTCAGAGGGCTGTGACAGAGCCAGAGGAACAGGTTACTGCCTCCAGCCCATCCCTAGTTGCTCCTTCCCACCCCAGCTCCCAGGGGTTTTATGATCTCAGTCTTGCTGATTGTAGTAATAAGTTTTTTTGGATCCAAGTCCCAGATTGTCAAATAGGAGCAGGGATGAGCATGTCGGGGAAGGAACTATGGAATGATGATTGCTGTAGGCAGAGCAGTTTATCCAGTCATGTCCAAAAAATGGATGTCCCACAAACTGTATTATTTTGACAATTAATTTGTGAGCCCCTGAGACAATGTTTTATTCCCTCTCCTTTTTACAAGGCTGTGATTTCCCTGTGTGACAGGGTTGGCAGCGGGGGGTTAAAAAGAACATCCTCTTTTCCCCTTTTGACTCCTTTGGCTCAGTTTCAGCTGTGGAACTGCTGGAGCATTGATCCTGTTTGTTTAAAGGAGAGCTCCAAACAGGAGGTGTTTCTGTGAGGAGTCGAATGCCCTCAGCTGTCTGATCTTGTCATCTTCCTGTGGCCCTGAAGCCCCACCTTCCTGCTGCACGTGGCCACAGAGTAATGGAACTGGTTTGTAGGTCACTGCAGCCTCCAACTTGCTTAAGAGCCAGTCCTGCCTCATCATGCCCCAGTCTCGAGAGTGTGTTTATGCTCTCAAGCAGTAAAATAAATATTGTTGTATTTGATATAACGATTTGCCACAGGGCATCAGGAAGTCTCAGTGTCAGTTGATGGTGCCTTTAGGAAAACCCGTCTAAATTACAGCTAAAAATAATTTCTTACAAACACTGATTTGTAGGAGTCAAACCTAATTATTTGGTGTTCAGAGAGCTCAGTTGCACCACCACTACCCCACACACTCTGGTGGTCCAGAGAGAGCTGCAGTGGGTCTGTGGTTTGTGTAGCTCTAATTGGACAAGTCAATTTTTGATCAGACAATAAGAGATGTTTTGTTGACAGAGAAGAGACCACAAGATAAAGATTTATTTATAAAGAATAATTTGTTACAGTGGCTTTCAATTTTGAAAGACAAACTTAACCGATTTTTATTTTCCTAAAAGTTCCATCCTTAGTAATTTCACTGTGTTTCTTTGTTTATCATGCCCCTCATGCTGGAATACCAGCTGTAGATCCTCATAATATGTACTTTTTTAGGTTGAGTGAAATAGTTCACAAATATTTTCAGGAGCTGCAGCTAAAATCAGTAGGAGAATTCTCATTCCCAGGTTATATCTCAGCATTTCTACAAGCATATCTGCTATTCTTATGCTTGTCAAATTGGTAGCAAATATCTGCAATTTTTAAAGAAAGAGAGAAGGTTCAGATGCTCAATGCAGTTGAAATGTCCATATGTCGTTTTTCTTGTTCTGTCTCTGTATCCCTGAAAAGACAGGCTCCTGCTTTAGGAAATGCCTGTGGAATAGAGTGGAAAAAAAAATTACACTGTGCAAATAATTCCATGTGTGCCTAAGCAATTGGACATGGAGTGCTCAGTATCCCCTTACAATTCAATATCAGTATTGGACAATTTTGGTACTGTTGTTTTCTCCAAGATCCAGTTGTTTATTTGCAGCAGTGATAATTAAAGACTGACGTGTAAAATCTAAGATGAGTTTTTGTGCTACCAGTAGTACTGGAAGTGCTCCGTCAGAGGGTGCTGAATATTCTTAGTCAGAGATCTGGCCACCCTCTGTAACTATATAAATATCCATGTGTCAGATTGGGTTTTTCTGTTGAAAAATGTACTTTAAGTTTGAAAAACTCCCTTGCAGTGGGTATATAGTGTGCTTGTTTCTTCAGTCTTTAAAGGTGGCAGAGTTCATGTGCGGGGAAAGTGTTTGTGTAATTTGGGTGGGTGTGGGCTTTTTCCTTTTCTTGGCTGGCATTTAGCACCAAATAACCTGGTGATCAAGTGTGGTTCACTCTGGCTCTTCTGTCTGGTTTATTCTCTTTCCATTTTGTTTTCCTCTTGTGACTCTCAAACTAAAGCCCATTATTACTGTAACTGTGAGTAGTTTGTTTTACATAATTGTATGTAATTTTCCTTTATGTTAATCATTGAATAACCTGAGTGAGGCTTAAGTACCTGTCCATTGCCATTTTATACAGTTTCCACAGCTTTTGTGCTAATAGGGAGGAATGGCTTTGAGGGGGTTCTTTCAATCTGAAATTGGATATTTTGCAAACTGATTATGCAGCAGAAGTCCTCCAGGGTAACAGGTGGTGTCCTCTGCTTTTTTCTCCTCCCCCCAGGTACCTCCATTCAAATAACATAGTTGTTGTACCTGAAGGTAAGTAATCTACCAGCTCACAATAAGTGGCAGGAATCATAAAATATTCATTTTTCTTCTTTGAAGGGGCCTATTTTTCCTTCATTTTCCCATAAAACATTAAAGATTTTCATACAAAATATACCAGCATAGCTCTTAGTCGATAATATCCTTGTTACTGCTATGTTAAAATCTTTAAATGATCCTCAAATGCACCTAAATGCTGTTTGCTCCAGTTCTAATTGCAGAAAGTGAAAAGGCTAAATGGCACTCATCTGCAGAACAGAAATCCAGAGTGTCTGCTGCTTTCAGGCAGTTACCACACAATGCTCTGCTGGTTTAGATCGTGACAGATTTGAAACCTAAAGGAGCAAGAACTTGGGGTAGTTTTTCTTAGTAACTGCTGAGTTATGTGCCCAAGTAGAGGAAATTAAACTCTGGGTATATAAATTGCACAGACTCAGAGCAGAGGAGTGGGGAAAGTTATTTCGGAGCAGAATTGTCTGAGGAAAATCTAGCAAGTGTTCTGTATTTGTTACCCCCTGTCTCACTGCCAGCAGGACTATTTGTTAGCAAGATAAACATTTCCACAATTGATGTCGTTCGGTTGTGAGACTGACTTTTAACACCTCTCACTGTGCTCAGACATAGGGTACTGGGGCTTCTTATCCCCTCACAGCCCTGTTAGGGTTTTAACCTTTCTTTCGGGTCCCATTCATGTTTTAATGTGTTCTCTCACAAGCCATTGGCTCCCTGGTTAAGCTGCAGTTTCTGGACCTCAGTGACAATGCCCTGGAAATCGTGTGTCCGGAGATCGGCCGCCTCAGGTCCCTGCGGCACCTCCGCCTGGCCAACAACCAGCTCAAGTATTTGCCTGCAGGTGAGTGATGGGTGAGGGCTCACAGCAGTGCCAGAGTCATTTCAGCTTCATTGGCCAAGTGCTCTGGGTGTGTTAGCACTTTACAGTTGGTACAACTTGCACTGAAGGCCTGGGCAGGGATGGACACTGTAAATGTGCTCTCTGTACTTGTAGAGTCCTGGAAAATGCTGCTGAAGTGGGAAAAATGTATTTATTTAACAGCCTTTGCCATCGTATCAAGAAAACATTGAACTTCCCTGAGAAGACACAAAATACCAATGACAACTGTCATTATGATAAAATGATGTTTCTTCCAATTTTCCATAATATACAGCATTCCAGTCCTTCCTTCCTTTCTTTTCGCCCAACAGCCCCGCTCTCGTATTTTCTAAAAAGACACATGTCTGGCAGGTTTGCCTGTGGCAGTTCTATCTCATTGTGACAGTAGATAACAAATGTTTGTCTTGCTAGTTTATAGTACAAAAGCAAAATTTATTCAAAGTAAATGTGACACAAAGTCAGAAAAAGTTGGCCATAGGCAGATTTTGAATGATTTTTTTTTTTGGCCTTCTAAATCCTTTGATAAGCAGATGTAACATTATCTTCCATCAACCTTATATATTTTCAGATAAGATGATGGTGATTCTCAAATATTTTTTAATTTTATTTTTTAGTTTTTCTCTGGTGTATTTGCATTTTCTGCTCTTCAGAGATGATAAAAATCTAAGGCTATGATTTCAAAAGCCTGGTCTAACTTAATCTAACAGGATTAGCTTTTGGCTCTGATTTTAACTAACTTCTCAATGTGACCTTCATGTGTTTGCAGGTTCACATTGTTTATTTTCAAGAAATATATTGCAAATGCTCCTTGAAGTTTTGGGTGCAGAAATCTCACTGTCCTTTCTTTGACTTTTCTTATTAAGCCTGGAAAAGTCAAAAGAAATGTTTATGATCGGAAAGAAAAAAATGTATATGACTATGTAAATGCTCTGGAATGAAATTAGATAAACCTGTTAAACATTATGACCCAAGGCCAATAAAATTTCCATCAATTTTCAGATGTCCTACATTCAAAAGAAAGGAGTGACTTGAGTGTGCTTTATGTTCCTCAAAGATAATTTACCTTATGGTGCTGTACCATGAAAGAAAGACTTGTTCAAAGAGAAAGTGACACATTTGCTGCAAAACTTCACACATTAACTTAAAAAGGTTCCAAAAAAGACTTTCAAAAAGATAATTTACATTACTGAAGAGTTGATTTGGAGTCTACCACATTTGATTAGGAACTGGTATCAGCTGAGGCTTTGCTGCGTTTCATTTCTCCTGAAGTCTGTACAAAATTTGGTGCTGGGCATTGTCCCTAAGTGTGTTTGGTTTTGTGTGCGTGGAAAATTTGCATGCTTAGGAATAATACAAGTGTTGAGTTGGAGGAGCCAGTGGTGTCTCTGTGTTTGCTGGGGGAGTCCCATGTGCCAGAGCTGCTGTCAGAACTAATCCTGTCACTGTCACTGTGACTGGATGTCACACAGCTCCAGTGCCACCAGCCTGAGCAGGATTAGCCTTTCACTTACACTGAATAGTTTGCCCTCTGGAGAGTTAATCTGCTGCATTGAGTGTTTCCTAAACATAACAATTCCCAAAGAGGGCTTCCAAGCATGTTTTCACAGTTGTTGTTTGTGGAATTGGGAAGATTTCAAAGACTTTGTTTAAAAAATAAATTCTGAGTTTCAAAGTAACACATATGTTCAACAATTGAAAAAGTAGAGCAAGATGGTAAGTTATGATGAATTGTTTTATCCTTAATTATACTGGTAGCATGAATCTTCATAATAGTGTTAAATAATGTTCTGTCAGGAGAGCTGGCAAAGTTAACAGGATTAACTGGGGTGGGATGGGATTTCACTGCAGTGCATCATTTCACTGTGTGTTCACTGCTTTCCTTACAGCAGATCCTGCATTGCAATGCATTCCTAGGGAAAGACAGCTCCTAATGGCTCTTAATTTATAATAAGTAACCATTTAAGATATAATTTAACTTCTACTAGTGCAGCTTGTGTGGAATGTAAAGATGTGCACTAAAAATAGGGGTTTAAATGACACTCATTTATGGAAGGGTGATTGCCCTGTCATTCCTGTTGGATCTCCATGCCCGTTGTCTGGTCTTACAAATACCCTCAGTTTTTAGAAATTCCATGGATATCTAGGGGGATACTCTTAGTAACATCTTAAACCAATTGCTAAAAATGTCTTCAGCACAACTGCAGAACAGTTGGATGGTAAATGTTTGTCATTAAATGTTTGAACACTCCCACTGTTGTATTGCATTTTAATTTTTTAAGAATGATACTCTGTTGTGTCTTCCTTTAATTGTGATTAAGAGCTGCAAGAAACAATGCAATTAATAGCATATGTTGATTCATTATCCATTTTTAATTGTTTTATTCCACAGTTGTGCCCTTAACATTCATTCATTAGTATTTAAGATTTGCCTTGTAGAAACCAAATTTTAAAATAATTGAAGGAGTAGCATTTAAGATTTTGATGTAAGCCTCTGGTCTGACTGTGGACATTGTTCAGGCTCTGATAGAGGTGGGGCTGTGGTTTAACTTCCATGTGATGGGCAAGATTTTAGTCTCTTAAGTCCCTGTTTCCACAAAACTTGTGAGAGTTTAATAACAAAGAGCACTCTGCTTTTGTCAGGCTGTGGTCACAATTGTCCAAAGAGTTTTAAAAAGTGATTTTACAGGAGGGGATGGGGGAGAACGATAAAGATCCGTGGAGCCAGTGTGAATCCATAAGTTTTAGTTTCCTGAAGAAATCAGGGAATACGGGACTGATGAGGGGGAAATCTGGGATGAGGTGCCGCAGGGAACTGTGTCCCTTGGAGGTGAGAAAGCCCTTTCTGTGTGGTGTAAATGCAGATCCTTTGTGCTCAGCAAACACTTGCAGTGGTGTTACCCTGGGTAAGATCCTGTGCTTTGGCCTCGGGGCTCTGTGTTTAAAACTTGGGGCTTCCATCAGCAGCCTCAGTGCTTGTGGGAGCTGCTGACAGATGACTCAGCTGAATTGAGGAGAACTAAAGGGGAAAATTTGTCCAAAACAAGCGTGTTGAAATTGAAATATAACATAAAATAGCTGGGGAAGAAAATGCCGTGTAAAATTCTCTTAATGTCATGATTTGAATATACTTTAATGAGTGGACCAGCTTCTGCCTAATGGAGAGTCATCAGTGTCTAAGATTCTCTGGTAATCACAGTCCCTGAGAGGTTCTGCCTTTCAAAGGAGAGCTGATTAAAAGAGTTGCAGAGAAGTAATGTGAGATTTAATGTTACAAAGTTCTCCTGAGGACTTGTTGTCATTTAAATGCACATTTATTTTTTTTTTAAATCTTGTAGCTTCTGTCTTTAACAGTCTCTTGGTTTGTTTATTTGGCTCTGGTATTTGTAATTCTTGAACATGAAGTCAAGCTTTGTGAAGTTTTCTACTATTTAACACTCGAATAATCTAAATTCTTGAGGACCATTTGGAAATGTGTAACAGCAGAGATCTTACAGAAAAAAATCAGCATAAACAAAAGATGGTTACTTCATATTATTTCATTAGTTCATGTGTAAGCTTGACTTAGAGTTGACATTGTGTTTTCACAGTAGCTTAACTTGGTTTAGAGATTTCTCCTTTTATTCAGTGAATTGATGTTTCATTTTAATTTAGAATTGTAGAGTTATCCTATATGAATGTGCTGTCAGAAGTAAATTTTCTGAATCTTCACACTTATGAATGATTAATTAGAAAGCTCTCCTTTGTTTCTGATGTTTATAATACATATGATATTTCATCTCCTTTCATTCTTGAGAAATGATATTTATTTTCTCTTTGTGTGAGAACTATGGCATCATTTGCATAGAGAAAAGAAAAAAATCCAGTGAGATGTACTATAAAAATTATTCTTGAGGAGTCCCAGAGCCAAGGTTAGCTCAGTTTTGCTGTGTTACTGTTTAGATTTGGTTTGACTTGGAAACTTTTGGTGTGCAGAGGGGGCTCCTCAGGTTCACAGTTTGGTCTTGTAGTTGGTGAGTGCACGTTTGGAGAACAGATGGCTTGAAAGGGGGTGGGTTATGCTCAAATTTGGACTTCAGTTTCTTATTTGACAAGGATTAGATTTTTTTTTTTATTGCACATTACTCGAGAGGTACTTCTCCTTAGAAATGGCAAGTTGTAGCATCTTGTTCTGAGATTTAATTAAAAATGAGGTTATGTTTACTCAGCACATGCTGGAGTTAATTATAGATTTACTAAAATGAAAAGCTTCATGTTTTGCCAAGTCAAGAGCAAAAGCTAAGTAATTAAAGAAGAGGGTATGGTTTATGGTCCCAGCCCATCTTTTGGCAAAATTCCCTTTAAGAAGGGCAGGGAAAAAAAATCAGCAGTTGTCTTTACATGGACTGGAGCAAAGTTCCCTTTGTGTTTGCTGTCAGGGAGCTTTGAAAACCAAGAGTTGAGTGCATTGATCAAGCAAAAAAACCAAAAAGTGGTCAAATTATGTAAAACTTTGATGTCAAGTGTGGGGTGGTGGTTCTTGAATCGTTCTGCTGGGGGGGGGCAGCAGCAGCTGCTGAGGGGGGTTCAGCTCTGAGAGACAAAGGCAGGTTCAGCGAGTGCCCCCTGAGGGAATGTGGGGCTTCCATTTCAGCTCCTGTGCTGTTCCCTGAGAATTCTGCATCTTCCAGCCACTTGTTGCCATTTTGCTTCCTTGAGGTAGAGTCTGAAGGGAAATGTCTTCTCCTGCCTTTGGTGTTTTAAAGTGCAAACTTCAGCAATGGCAGGGGGGTAACAGCACATGGACTCTTCCTTGCCTTACTCCTCAAATCCTTTCCCTTTTTAAGGCAAATTGTTTTAGAAATACAGTCAGTTCAAGACTCATTAAAATACATTTGTAGGCTTATAAAACTTCATCTTCAAAGCATTTGAGAAAGATCCTGTGAAGCTGATAAGGGAGTGTTATCCTCATTTTACAGAGTGGA